AATGGCGCAAAGCAAATCCAAAAGCCTTGTCTCGATTAAATTCCGAAGAAATATCAATTTTCTTCTTCTTAGCTAATTCCTTAACTATTTTTCTTGTTTCTTTTGGGCATTTGATTTCATCACGATATTTAACTATAGGAAGTAATGCTGTTTCCAAATCCATTGTGACTTTTCCCATATTCGATTGAAATTCTGTTGTGTGAATATCAACAACTGTTTCATTTGGCAGTCCAGTTCGATTCCACAAGGCAAAATAAGCAGACTTAATTAAATTTTAATTAAGGGTTTAAAAAAATAAAAAAATATTCTCGGTCATATTTTACGTATTATTGCATTGTACTTGATCCTGAGAGCTTTCCAACGAAAGGTTCTTAACCGTTGAATCATCCCACACCGTTTGATACTTTATTTATTTACTAGGCTGGGAGGAAGTTTATTTGGACTAATATTTTTATAGTATCCTTCTAGTTGCTATAGAAATATTCCTTAGGAATACAGCATCACCTATTCGCCATTTTTAGGACAATATTAATAACTTTATAATAGTAAATCTCAAACCTGAACAACTTTGCTTGCATTAATTTGATCGGCGAAGAAGAGACGGGCAAATTCGGTATCCAATTTGATTTCAACAGCTTTAGCATTAACTCTCTCTAGAAAAGCGGCTTCTTTGTCAGGATGATCTATTGGATGATTATTTGCAAATTCAAAAAGAGCTACAGGACGAGAGAAATCCAAAACATTATCAACCAAAATTATAACTTTTTCGAAAGCATCTGGAAATTAAATAAAAGATTTTTGGAAATTATATTTAAAATATCTCTACCATCTTTATCTTTATTGTCGTCCTGATCGGCTATAACAAACCAAATGGAAATTGAAATAAATAAAATTAAATTTAAGAATTTTGAGTACATTTTAATAAAAAAATTTAATTTTTGGTGCTTATCCACCGAATTTAAAAGCCTTATAAAGACTTTAAAAAACCTCTCGAACTAAAAGAAATATCAAAGTATAAGTTAAATAATTATTATAGTTTGAGAGAATTTAATATTTTAAAAAAGCTAATTAAATATATTTTAAAAATTCTCGAGTTAATTTTTACTCTTTATTAAATAAAATAATCTAAAACTTTCTTCCTTCTTGAAATAAAAAATTAAAAACGTGACAGGAAAGCTTTAACAAAAAGTAAAACGTGTAAAATCATTAGAAAAGGGAAATTATTTTAAATTTTATGAGCTGGAATTTTGACTTGTCGATATGTATAATATTTAATTTAATTTAAAGTTGTTAAGAAAGTTAAAAATTTTTTTTTATTAAATTCTTAGATCCTAATATTGATTAAAATATTAGTATATCATCGAAAAAAATTAAGGTGTTCTGGAAAAATTGCAGAACCGGATCTTTGTGTTTAAGGTCTTATTTAATGTTGAAATAAAAAACTAAAATAATAATTGAAGAATATTTAATAAATGGAGATTTGATAAATATTATTAACGATACCACATGTTGATTAATGACTTAAATCCTCGGTTCCTCACTGGTTTCTACTTTATCGAGGTCTTCGGAGAAATGATTGGGTTTGCTCTTAAAATATCGAAGTCGGACTTTGTCTGAAGCTAAATAAGCTTATTAAATAAACTTCTAATTTCAACTTACTTTTTATTTGAAAAAGAAATTTTTCTTTTCAATTCATTTTTTCAATTCACTTTAACAAAAATTTTGTAATAAAAATTTAAAAATTATTTTTTAAATTCATGATTAATGACAATTATTTGCTGAAAATAAAATTTATATAAAATCTCAAAAATACTAATGTGATTCAACTTTTTTGAAACAACTTTTTAAAAACCATATGTGAAAGAGTTTATTTTTCCTTTGTTCAAAAGTGATTCATTAAAAATATTATTTTTATTTTTAAATTTTAAAATTAAATTTTAAAATTAATATTTTAATGCTTTTTCTTTCTTTTTGATAAAATTTATTTAAATTTTTTTATTTAATGACTACATATTAAACAATGAATAATTTTTAAATAAAATTTCTTTTGTTAAACTGTTATGTCAATTTTAATTTTAATACTTAAATAATTTAATTTCAATTTTATTTATTTTTTCAATTTTCTTTACTATCAAAAACACACACTTATTGTGTATAAATTCTTTTCTGATGTGAAAAACGATAAAAATTAACCTAATTTTCATAAAAATTTGATTAAAATTTAATTACCTCATCAAAGAACAATAATTATCATAATAATAATAATTAAATTAGGTATTTTCAAAACTTTTTTACACTTACTGAGCATTACTATCAAAATTTGCTTCGCCAAATAATAAAAAAGCTTCTCGTTTAAAAATTTTTTTTGTAAATTAGTCACACCTTTCTCTTCTAATACACTCAACTTAATTTACAATTTACACTTTTAACTCGTTTAATTAAATTAATGTATTAAAATAAAAATTACACCAATTTTTATAAATTTTAAATAAATTTCTGCAAGACTTTTAAGTAGAGTTGGCCGGTATCGGGATTTAGAGAAAAACCCGGGATCGGGATTTTGGGTTGGTGATCCCGATCCCGATCCCGGATCCCGACACGGGATCGGGATTGGCCGAAATCGGGATCGGGATTTGGACTGGAGATCCCGATCCCGGTCCCGATCCCGAATCGGGACCGGGATTAAAAAATCGGGATCGGGATTTACTAAAAATTTTTTTAAAAAACTTTTAAATTTTTATTTTCTTCGCAAACGACTTAATATAATTCTAAAATTTCCACTGTGGTGCTGAAATATTGAGTTAAAGTCTCATAGACGCATGATTTACTTTCCGGTTTAGGGGATTAAGAGGGGATAAGGTATGGGGGGGGGGGATAAATGGGATTGGGCTTTTGATTTTCAAAAAATTTGCACCTTTTGAAAAGTTTGGCACCTTGGCCTTCCAAATTTTGAAAAATTTTGAAGGCCAAGGTGCCAGATTTACTCCCTTTTAAGCGCCGCAGGCAATAATTTTTAATCTTGGAAGGCCAAGGGCATGTAAGTCTAAACGTTCAAGTCTACATGATTAAATGCGTTACGTTCAAATGTTACGTTCAACGTTCAGCGTTACGTTCAACTGAAATTGAGTGATTAAGCGATATATTCATGTCCCTCGTAAACCCTCGGTTCTCTTCAAATCTAATTTAATCACTGTAAATCCACCGATATCCTTCTATGCTCCAAATCCACCTATACTCCCCTCAACCCCTTTTGATCACTCGATATCACACCAAATCACTCAATATTTCGTCGAAGTTTTATAGACAGCTTTGTTTAAATTTGCTCCTTTTCTGCGCCGCAGGCGAAAATTTTGAGAATTTTGGATGTCAAGATGCCAAATTTCTTCCATTTTCTGCGCCGCAGGCGAAAATTTTTCTCACTTTCACGCCTCCAATCTTCTGTTAACTTTAATTCACAGACTTCTAGTCAATTTATAAAGTCGGGATTTGCATCGGGATCTGATGCACATCCCGATCCCGATCCCGGATCCCGGCTCGGGATTGAAATTGGTCGGGATCGGGATCGGGATATTTATTTCGGGACCGGGATCAGAAAAATCGGGATCGGGATTTGAAAAACCCGGGATAATCCCGCCCGATCCCGACCGGGATCCCGATCCCGGCCAACTCTACTTTTAAGTACTTTTCTGCTTTGTCAGCCCAATTAAATTATTATAAATGTCACATATGAGGTAATAAGAATTGCTGATTAAGATTATTATGTTTATCTCTTCTTATCCATACCCAATAAATGGTTAAGTAAATTTTGTAAAGTTAGGAACTTCATAAAACAACTTAGATAGTCATAATGACTATCTAAGTTGTTCATGAAAAACTATCACCCTTTCCGACTGCCAAATGTTGTAACATAAAAATTTTAAGTAATTTGAAAAATTAATTAATTTAAAAATAATTCTCATTATAATATAATTAAATTAAGAATATTTATTTTAAAAAGTTTTTTTAATTAATCACACCTTTCCCTTCCAATACACTTAACTTAATTTACAATCTAGCTTTGTAAAACAAAGAAAAAATTTCTAAATTAATGAATTTGTATTGTGATTTAAAAATAAAAATTAAAATACATATATTCAATTCTCCAAATCAATTTTTACTCCAAAATTGTTTGCACAATTTGGCGATTTTACAAAAAAATCTGTTTTTATTGTCTATTTTGTGAGTGAGTGCTGACCTAAATAGAAATAAACATTACTAATAAAAGGCTTTTAGATTTTCTTTTTTTGAATTATTTCCTGAAAGTTTCCATTGTGTACATATATTTATTTTTATTTATTTTTATAAATTGTTAAAATTATTAATTTAATTTTTATTTAAATTATTTTTCGATAATTTTTATTGATCTTACATATTTAAATTTAAAAGATTTTCAATATACATACAACATATTTAATTCGTTCTAAACTGAGAGAAGAATTTTTTGTAAAATCATTTTTTGTTTTTAATTATTTTTAAATTTTTAAATAATTTTTTTATAAAAAATAAAGCAGTAAAATTTTATTTATGGATGACAATCCGGAGATTTTTTATTCAAAATATTACCACAAAGTCAAAAAAATTCTTGTACTCACGCCCCGTTTCCCTCCTTACCATACAGAATAATTCTAATTTAAAGAAACGCATATATCCCTTATACAAATTTTACTTTAATATTTAAAAATTTTTTTTAATAATTTAAGGTTAAAGATTCATTTTTATTTTATTTATTTTATTGTTACATAAACACATTTTAGCGTTGTTATCAAATAAAACAAATTTTCTTTTATAGATAACTTTTTAAATTTTTTTTAAAAATTTTTTACATTCCTCTAATTTTATTGACACACAAAAATTTATTTGATAACACCCAAAATAATTTTTAAATTTAAAGTAAAATGTGACTATATTTTTCCTTAATTTTTCTATCAAATCAATATTTAATTTTATTTTTAAGATCAAAATAAAATGCAAATCCACCACCAACAAATCACAAAAAACAAAAATAATACTAAACCTTTTGTTGGTTGTTCCTTCAGTTTTTGTACAAATTTTATAAAATTAAGTAATGAAAGAATTTCTAAATTTATTTTTAACAATACAACAACAACAAAAATTAAAAGGGTAATATCAACTAAATCAGAACCCCCAAAATGTCCAGCAATTGGGTTATTCCCTCCCTTAAGTGAAAATACAAATTATATTCCAATAAGTGGAAAACAGCTTTGTTGGGAAATTAAACAATTAATTAATAATACAGAATTGGCTATAATTAGATTAGAACAATTAAATACACAAAGTAATTTATTTAAAGAAATTAATGAAAGTATTGAAAATATTGGGGAGGAAAATGTTTTGGTTAAACAATTTGTTCTTCAAGTTAAAGAATTATTTGAATTGGCAAAGAAGATTGAAAAGGTAGATATTAAAAATTTGAGAAAAAAATATTTTTTTTGTTAGGAAAATATGTCAATTATTGAATGTTTATTTTAGTCATATGAGAAAAATATTTGATATAACGAAATCTTTAATAAGTCAGAGAGTTTAGCAATAGTTTAGCCACCGGGCAGGAGTACTGCGGCCTCCTGACAGTTATTGCTAGTGGATTTCGCTCACCACATACAAGGGCTCTACCACTGAGCTACCGGGGCATCGACTAAGCCTTTTAGATCGTGTAACCCTCGCCTAAGCGTTTTAAATGCTCTAGGTGAATCATCCTTACATCGGTTTAATAGATAAAAAACCCTCGTCCTTAGGGAAGTAATATCCTGAAAAAGGCGGAGATCACCCCTCGGAGCCCCGTTTTATATTTCATAGTTAACTACAATCCCATTCCCTAGATTAATTAAATAAAATATTCTCAAATAATATTCATAATCTAGGTTCTATAATTAATTAATTATATTCTTTTTTACTTTTGTGTTATAATTGGATTCATTTAGTCATTTTAATATGAAAAAAATATTTGTATAACGAATGCTTTAATAAACCTCTGGGAGGGGAATCCCTTGAGAACGGAGGCAGGTCTCTCCCAAGACGCCCTTTCTCCGTTCCCTGCAACCCACGTCCTCAATAAAATGTCTCCTCGCTGATAATTAATTTTTTAAGTGATACTCATTTTTAATAATTTATAGCTAAATAGATACCAAGAAAGGATTCGAGAATTTCTAAGAGTTTTTGAATTCTATTCGTAACTTAAGGATTTCTTTTACTCTTTTCTATAAAAAAATTTATTTAAGATAATTCCATCATTTTTTGAAGAAATTTGCAGTGATTGTCCTCAAGTAGACGAAGTAGAATCTTCAGAACAATTACTTTCTAAAAATTTCACTAAACTATTGAATGCCACAATTCGTTTTGATTCACTTAAAATAACAACCCCAATATTACAAAATGCTTTTAGTTTATTTAGGTAATTAATTAATTGAATTATGAATAAAATTATGTTTTAGAAGGATGTGTTTATTAAAGAATTTAGGCAATATTTATACTTTGAATGCTCCTTTAAGTGATCAAATTGTTCTTTTTCTTTCAAGACCTTCACCTTTATTTACAGCGATAGTTAATAGTGCTGGACATTTTATTGGAAGACAAAGAAGCAGGGAATTGGCTACATCACATTTATCTGAAGCTCTTATTGTCATTTATAATGTAATATATAATTAAGCATTGTCAAAAATTCATTTTAATTAGTGTAGCGATTAGATAATTAAATTTGGCAGATCACTTGGTCTCAACCTAAGTATATTGAGGATATTGGAGGGATATCGATGGCGTTGAACGGATTAATGGAGGACTGAAGAGATATAGGAGTATTAAGTAGGGCATCATTGCATTTTGATTAAGGGAAGGCCGAAAAGCCTCCCTTAATCAAAAAGGGGTGAACTGACTTATAGGGATTACGGGATTTGAATAGATATCAGGTGATTAGTGTATTTAAATAGATACAGACCTCTAGAATTAACTAAAATTAAAGACATTTAATACCTCTCAATCAGTAAACTGAGGACTAAAAATTAATTGAAATCCATTATTTTCTCCAATAAAGGTTGTAAAGAAAATGCTCCAACGTTTATGTAATAACCAACAACAGGAAGATTATTCAAATACAGATTATCATAAAGAATTTTTAATTCGATCACTGATGGGTATTTTACTTTTAAGTGATCATATAGACAGAAATTTTGGAGGAATATTTATTCCATCACGTTCTCCCTTTGATATTGCGGACTTTATTGATATTGTTAAATTAAGAACAAGTTCAGTTGAGGTAAGGAATTTATTTATGAATTTAAATATTTATGGGATTATGAAGATCAACATGTAGAAAGTAGGGTTGTTTCCAGACGGGGGGCCACGGGGAAATTTTCGGAAGCAGCACCACGGGGGTGGGGTCTGAGACGGGGTACAAAAAAGTACAACCGTAGTAAAAGGTACAACTGGAATGAGCTAATTTAAATTTTAATATATGTATTCTACTCCAGTTATCTGAAAAAATGGTAACCGAGAGTGAGACAAAAGTCGGAACTCGTTAATCCGAACATCTCTACAAAGGACCTTAGTTCCATTAGCCTGCCTGTAATATATTAATGAGTGAAAAAAATAAAGTTTACTTGAATAGTAATTTATTAAATTGAATTTAGGCGAAAAAAACTTTGGCAACTCTCCGCTTTATGTCTAGGCACTTTTCTGATTCAGAAATACCTGCTTATATTCGAAAAATGTTTGAAATTAATTAAATATTTAAATTAAAGATTTTGTAAAAAATCAAAATAATTTTTTGTAAATTTTTTGTTTAAAGATTTATAAATTAAAATATATAAAATAAACAAATGGAATTGTATAAAATTAAAAATAGTATATTCAATTTTGATTCCAATTTTTTAGACATTTTTAAAAAATCCGACTCGATTCACGAAAATCCTGATGGCCAATATGGCTTTAATAAGTTGGGATTAATCATTTAAATTTAAATAAATTTTTGTATTGAATACATATATGAATGTGTTTAAAAAGGATAGCAACCCGACCCCGACGGATTTTTTTAGCAAAAACCCGACCCGAACACCGAAAGCTCTGCCCCAACAAACCCCGATCCCCGACACGCCCGCACCCGAAGGGTCGGGTTGCTACATTACAAATTAGTTTAAAACAATAAAAGAACATCAATGTATCAGAAATCCTGCCGAGTCTATTCACGAAATCAGGAATAACTTTTCTGTCAGCAGGATCCCTAATATGTATCACCACGGGCTTTTCTTAGTAATTTCGTTTATAAGCAATATCAGCAATCAAAAACTATTACTGCTATTAGGATTTGAATTACGAAATATTTGTTTTGAGTATATTTTTAATTTGGAAATATAAATTTGTAATGGGGAAAGGAAGGATGTCTTTTTTGTATATGCTTATAAACGATCCGCAAAGGTTTTGTTTGCACATCTTTAATTTTACATTTTTCATGTAGATAAGGTATACCTTATTTATTCCAATAAAACCACAACTCTATTAATCACATTCTCTAATATAACCAAAAAATTGAAGCGTTGAAAAATAAAATCAGCGTGGTCATATTAGTATAAATTAGGTAGCATATATTTATAAAATACAAAATCGGATGGATGAATAGATTTTTAATTATAAATGATACATAATTTTTATAATTAAATTAATTTATAAAATAGTTCCGAATATCGGTTATATAAATATCTTTTTTTAATTTCCAAGCCCAGCAAATTCCGAAGCATCTTTCACTCCAGCTATACCTCAAATTAAATTTAATCCTTCCTCATTTATATTTTTATTTTTAAAAAATTTCAATTTTCTTTTAATTTTAGTACTTAATCGTCTCAATTTTGACGGAAATTCTCCTTCCCAAATTTTTTTCAAATTTTTCAAAAATTTATTTGCATTTTTGTTTATTCGTCTTATTGTTCTATCATTAAATTCTTTACTCTCTAACGGATTAATTACTCTTACATAAATTACTCCAAAATTTTCAAAATATTTTTCAGCTATTTCACAACCTCTTTTTATCAATTCTCTATTTATTTCCTCACATAATTCTTTTGCTTTTAACATTTTTAAGAATTCATGTTCTTTTAGTACATTTAAATGATTATAGAATTCCTAGATTTTAAATTAAATTATTAGATATATTTATGTACATCCTTTAATTTTAACAACGTGATTTTATAGGGATATTAGTTAATAATGGTTTACTGAACTTGTTATTAGTGTTGGCAAATGTGGATATCTAATATGGATCCGAAAAAGGTCTGGATATCTGGGAAATTCCGTGTTTGAATGTCTGAACCGGATACTCGGGTACTTCCAAAATATGCCAACCCTACTTCCTCTGGTCTCTTCAGTTTAATTCTCTATTAAAATTTAGCCAAATATTATTGATGAATTAATTTTAGTATTTATCGGTTATACGCCCACAAACTGAGTGCCAGACAAATTTGATTAGCTTTAACTTTCTAATGCTTGTTCCAATTCAAATAAATCTTATATCATTCGTAAGCCCTTGATAAACGGTAACTTTGTTCTAAAGCATAGATCATGTTTGATCAATCATTTAAAAATTATAACACAATAAGTCCAATTATTTGATATTTTTCACATTTATCGGGTTATAACTTTTTAACGAGTGATCAGAATTGATCCATTAACTCGGAAAAAAGATTCCTCTTATCGAGGGCTTTCGAACGATATATAATTAATTTGAATTGGATTAAGCATCAAAAAGTTAATGCCGATCAAATCTGGCTGGCACTCAGTTTGTTGGTGTATAACCGAAAAGTAGAGTTACGCGGGATCGGGATCCCGGTCGGGATCGGGCGGGATTATCCCGGTTTTTTTGAATCCCGATCCCGATTTTTCTGATCCCGAACCCGAAAGACAAATCCCGATCCCGGTTTTGGCCGATCCCGATCCCGAGCCGGGATCGGGATCGGGATTAGCAATCGGATCCCGATGAAATCGGGATTTTATAAATTAATGAAAATATAAATTAATGAGCTGAAAAGAAAGCAATTTGGCTTCTACGCCATCCAAAATTTTCAAAATTTTCGCCTGCGGCGCTAAAAATGAAGATTTTGGCTTGAGAATATTCGAAATTTTTCAAAATTTTTGCCTCCGGCGGTGAATAAGAAGAGACTCATTTATAAAACTATCGACGGAATGGATTTGAACGGATATAATGGATATCCTAGATGTCCATCTAGATCCCAATATCTCATTAATCAACGATATCCCTCTTAATCCATCAGAATCACCTTATCGTTAATACTTTATCCCTCCTCCTTAATCCCTGATACGCCAAGAACAAATGCGCACTGGGACTTAAAATCAATATTTCAGCACAGCAGATGAAAATTATGGAATTATATTGAGGTATATGCAATGTAAATAAAAATTTAAATTTTGAAAATTTTTTTTAACTAAATCCCGATCCCGATTTTTCAATCCCGATCCCGAGTCGGGATCGGGACCGGGATCGGGATCATTATTCCGAATCCCGATCCCGATTTCGTCCAATCCCGATCCCGCAGTCGGGATCGGGACCGGGATCGGGATCATCATTCCAAAATCCCGATCCCGATTTTACGTCGGGATCCCGATCTCGCCCAACTCTACCGAAAAGTACCTTAATTTTTATTAAAAAATTAATTTCTACCTGATATTTACCTCCAATACCTTCCAATTTAATATTTTCAATATTTTTAAATTTTCTTTTCCCAACCAATTTTCTAAACATTTTAAAAAAATTTTCATTCAAAATTTCCAACATTTTCTCATTTCTAAAAAATTTTTCAATTCCAATATATTTAGTTTTCATCATTTCCAATTCATTTTTTAAAATATTTTTAATTTTTTCATTTTCTTCTTTATTTGAAATAAATTCAAAATAAGGCTTTAAAATATTTAAATAAAAGTCCTCTTCACTTTTATTTAATATAGACATTTTATCCTCTTCCCATTCATCTTCTTGTAATTGAATTTCTTTTTCCCATAAATCAAAAAATTTTTTAATTTTTTCTTCTTCATCTACACCTTCTTCATCTGCTTCTTCTTCCATTTTTTCTTCTTCTCCTACGTCTTCTTCAATTTTTTCTCCATCAATTTCTTCTTCATCTTCTATTTCTTCGTCAACTTTTTCAGTAGTTCTCAATTTCTAAACGATATTTACACAGAATGAAACTTGTGAACAAGCTACACCCCTAATAACTAAGGTTGTCGGATCCGGATATAAGGATCCGAAAAGTAGGCCGGATATCCGGAAATTTTTGGTATTTTTCTTTCAGGCAAAGAACCCAAAGAATAATAGAAAAATATTGAAAATAAGTCATAAATAGGGCGTGACATAACACCTGACTTACATAACACCTGACTTAACATCTGAGTTAACAACTGATTTACCACGTGACTTAACCTCTGACTTAACATCTGACTTTACATCAGACATAATATTTAGTGAATAATGTAACAGTCGACTTGGAACAACCTCCCCTGTCGTTGAAACAACTCCCCTCACACACCTAATACCGACCCCTAAACGCCGAAAAACTTCAATCTAAAATTCTGTTATTTCACTTAACTTTTGCTTCTTTTCATTTTTTTGCAAGTTTCATTTAGGGTTGTACCCCGAACGCTCGGGGGCGGGTATGTCGGGGTACGGGGTTTTCCAATTGTTTCGGGGCGGGGTTCGGGTCGGGGGAGCAAAATATGGCCGGGGTTCGGGTCGGGGTACGGGGGTTTAGTGGAAAAATTTTTAGAGAAAAGAATGCTCAAAAATAATTAGAAATCGATATATTTTCGTTGATTTATTCAAAAATTAAGTAGGATTTGAAGAAATTAGAGGGGATTTGAAGAGATTAAAGTGTATAACTTGGGATATAAGTGGATCTGGAGGGATTAAGTGGGATTTTTAAGGATTAAATCCTCCGATTACCATTCAGCTCCCATTAACAGCGCCGCAGGCAAAATTTTGAATATTTGGAAGATCCTTAAGGCAAAAATCTTCCATTTTATGCACCGCATGCGAAAATTTTGAGAATTATAGAAGGCTAGAAGCCAGATTTCTTCCGTTTTTTACGCCGCAGGCGAAAATTTTGAAAATATTGGAAAAATCTTCGTCGGAAATTTGCCTTAAAAATTCATGGAAATCGGAAATTTTTCCAAAATTTCGGAAATAGGCAAGAAAAAAACGTCGGAAATCGGAATTTCGACCCTCCTCTGATACAGGGGTTGAAGGATTAAGGGTGGTTCAAGGGATATCAGTTAAAAATAATATTAATATTTTCAAATTAAAATTTAACTCGT